TCCTCTACCACACACTACCTCATCAGCTTCCAAATCCTTACCCATCTCGATAAACGCAAATCCTCCATCACCAGCATCTTCATAGATTTCAAGAAAGCCTTCGACCTGGTGGACCACACCACGGTCATCTCAAAAGCGGCAGCTTCCATGGGCATCAGGGAGTGCCTCATCCTCTGGCTGGTAGACTTTCTTTCTAACAGGCAACAAGTTGTGTACGTGCAGGGTCAAGTTTCCAGCCTCCTGCCACTCTCGTGTGGAGTACCCAAGGGGACTAGAGGAAGTACAGGGGCCGAGCTCCTGGACGTTAAGCATCGATGGAAATACGTGGATAACTTGACCATCTCCACCGCCATTGACAATTCCTGCCCTGACCACTCCTCTATCCAGCGCACCCTCGACAACCTCCTCGCCTGGACCTCCGCAAAACACGTCACTATCATCTGCTAGAAGTCGTGATGCAATTTACCACCAACCCCGCCCCAGCGCCCATCTTCATGCTGGACAACCATCCGCTAGACGTCGTTCCACCAAGCTGCTCGGCGTCACCGTCGACGAAATGCTCTCCTGGACGCAGCACGTCAGAGACATCTTGAGGTCCACCTCGTACAAGCTTCACATGCTGCGTCGCCTAAGTCCCTTGATGTTCCACTTCCGGAGCTTCAAAATATCTACAGGCTATTCATCTTGCCCAAACTGACCTACGTCTCCCCCTCCCTCACCGCCACCCAGTATGGCTTGAATCTGCTGTGGCATCCACGCCACCGCGACCTACTACCCCCGACCCGCCGCCGCCTCACCGGGCCGTACACGCCGCCAACAAAGTGGTGCCCATCAGGGCCTGCACTGACAGCTACCGCCGGAGCACAATACCTACTCTAATCCGACTTATCAACGAGCACTAGTCAATGGACCGCCCACCACACCTCTTCCACGAGCACTAGTCCACTATTAATAGTCCAGCACCCCTGGCTTACCTGAACTTGCACTTTGTTTCTCTAGCTCCTTTTGTTGTTATTTTTCCTATAGATTGTTAGTTTTTGTTGTTTATATGTTTATGTATTTATAGTTTGTCTCTTTATCTGTAGTTATTTGTATATTTTCAACCCCTGGCTGCATAAGATTCATTAAACCGACTATTATCATTATTATTCACACACACACAAACACAAACACACATACACACACACACACATCTTTATTCATTTATTTTTGTTTGTTTGTTTTACATTCAAGCGCATAAGAAAGAGCAATTAATGGGATGAGATGGAACAAATTAACTTCCCTTTTGGTTCATTTTATTTCTTATGAAAATTATTATTTTTTATTGTTACAGACAAAGGTAAAACAAGTGGAAAAAAGAAAGAGGCTGGGGTTCAAGCAGCAGAACGAGACATTTAATGGCATAAAACAAAGCACAAAGGAATGGACGACGAAGGAAAATTGAAACTAGAAAGGGGCCGGAGGGGAGCGGGTGGGAGGAGAGGGGAAGCGAGTGATAAAGAATAAAGAATAGAATAAAGAATAAAGCGGAATAAACAGCATGCGCAGGGAACGAATTCTTAGACAACTGGATCTGACTGTTGCAAAATGGGTGGGGGGGGGGGGCGAAAAAGGGAGAATGTTATTCATAAAATACACGAATGAAACATTTGGTGATACCGATGATTAAAAGTAACAAAAGGAAGACAACTGAAAGGATAAAGGAAGAGTGCTGATGCTGGTGTATGGATTATTATCTCTCTCTCTCTCTCTCTCTCTCTCTCTCTCTCTCTCTCTCTCTCTCTCTCTCTCTCTCTCTCTCTCTCTGTATAATACATACATACATACATACATACATACATATATATATATATATATATATATATATATATATATATATATATATATATATATTTGTATGTATGTGCATATATATATATATATATATATATATATATATATATATATATATATATATATATATATATATATATATTGTATAATATATATATATATATATATATATATATATATATATATTTGTATGTATGTGTATATATATATACACATTGTATATTATATATATATATATATATATATATATATATATATATATATATATATATATATATATATATATTTGTATGTATGTGTGTATATATACATTGTATATTTTATATACATATATATATATATATATATATATATATATATATATATATATATATATATATATATATATATATATATATATATGTATATATATATAAAGAATGTATATATTTATAATACACACACACAATGTTTACTATACACATTTTTTAATAATATTAACATTAATATTAATATTAATATTAATATTAATAATAATAATAAAATTAATGATAAAATGAATAATAAAATTAATGATAAAATGAATAATTAAATCAATTATAAAATTAATAATAAATTAATGATAAAATTAATAATGATAATAATGATAACAATAATGAGAAGACAAAGGAAAAAGGAAAAACAAAAAGTTGACATTTTGTTCATTATAATAAAGAAATCCAAATTTTGTAGTTACAAGTTATTTTTTTCTAACCTATTTATCTATTCGACATGAATTTCAAATTTCGTACTTCTAGTGACTTCTCTCGGCGAGACCTTCAACTCACAGAGAATGAAGATATAGAAAAAACTTGGTCGAGAGTATATATATAAAAAGGTAAGAAAAAGGCAAGACTTCTGTCCCGCTTAAATCTATAATGTTCTACGCAAATTGTCACCAAACTATCAATTCCCAGAGATTTAACGCTGGCAGCAGTAACCCAGTCTTCATTACCCCAAACGCCGCGGATTTACGTTCTGCCTCTCTGTATATTTTTGTGAATGTTGTTACACGCAGATGGCTCATGTGCTCAGCCGGCAAGGAATCTATCAGTAGCCCTAGTTGACCGTTCCTGATTTCCCTATTCCTTGAATTGGCCGGAAAATGTTTTTCTTTTTAATCCAGTTGACAACGATACTGTTATCATTGTTATTGATGTTATGATTATTAAGTTGTTATAGAAATCTCGACAATGAAATAATGCAAAAGACCTTCTCCAAAAGTCGAGAAAACGGGTAAACAGGTGAGATAGTTAGGATTAATAACCGACTCCTTGGTGACTAAGCACTTGTAGAGCCATCTATGTATTACTTGTATTACAGTGGGAATGACATGTATTCTTGCCATATGAGGCAATTGGGTTAATAAACAACCAACCAGCGTGCGATAAAAAAAAGAAAAAACATAGTGTATACAAAATCCTTTGAATATCTACATCTCAAACACATTTTATGTATAGGAATTACAAAATAACTAATTAACGCATACTACAAACTGCTTGAGGTAAATAGAATGTTAAAGGCCAAGAAAGCTTTGTGTGTTTATTCATATACTAAATATATAATAGTCGGATACAAATTCAAGTAAACGAGTAAATTTAAGAAATAACCTGCACCAACTGCGAGTAAGAAAGTGTTCTTGTAAAGCAATAAGCTATAAAGATCAGTGATTATTTACTGTCATTAGGATACAAGTGTGATACAAACAAAGCCATTACATGAATTACAATCAAATATTTAGAAATAATGATATTCCATACTACCAGCTATCATAATCCCATGAGCATTATATATCTATTTTGAAATATCATCAGTTGCCTATAGTTTTGTAGGGTTATCAATCTCAGAAATATATTATGATCCAGTATAAGTGGTAAAATAACATCAGAGGTGGTGGCCTACAATTTCCTGGGGCTAAAGTAAAATACAAAGTATTAAATTGGTGGTTCTTAAACATTTGATGTCCCCCCTACCGCATTCCTCTTCAGACCATTGCTACCTTTATTACAATCAGGAATCAAAAAATCATCTCAGTTAACTGGTAAAATAACATTACTGTTACATTATTTATGGTAATTATATTTGCTATTTAATAAAATATTGCGAGAATCCCTAGCGGGAGGGGAACATAACATTATGCCAAGGAGTTATTACTTTTAGAAAGTACCTTGTTAATTGCCAGAAACCACCAACTTGGGTAATTGCCCTAGTTTGAAAACATTGTATTAGTCTCCTTTGAAGATCGGCCAACAAATATTATTCTGAAGATTCAGGGTGAACAAAGCCATTCATGTGGCAAATATCATACTCGAATTATACCAAAGTTAATATATACTCAGGGAAATATTCCTGTTTATCATATTTAACTATGATCTTTGGCATGTTTTCCTGATCTACTGTCGAGTCATAAAGCATGCCAGTTGCAGGATTGGGAGGAGGTCGAACCATCGATGAGTTGCCTCTGGTAAAAGTACCCACTGCAACTTGTGCAACAAAAAGGTATTTCATTCCTGAACCATCGGGTCCACAGTATGAATAAGAGTATGCAGCATCAGTTGAGAAATAAGTCCCACGACCATATGCTTGTCCACTGCTTGAACCATGAAGACGCCAGTCAAAGTTTTCGGCACAGATACTAGAAACAACATTATGATTTGTACCGTGGAATAAGTGTCGGATATCCACTTTCGTTTTGTCACCTAGCACGGATGACATTTCAGTAATTTTGTTTCCAAATGCACGCCATAAGTATGGATTCTGTACCCTTTCAATCTTGATGACGTTGGATGTAGAAATACGGCCATTCAAAAGAGCAGTGACTGTTTGGTATTCACTCGATGACGGGGCCAAAGTTACCATACGGACCCGTTCTTCAGGCTGCATTATCTCCCAAGACGAAGGAAGGTCTTTGGGCTTCTCATCTTCAGAGTCTTCATCCTGGTCTTTTAGGTGTGGCTCAGGACGTCGTCTCACCTGCCTTACTACATTAGTTTTTTGGTTAGTCTGAGTCATACTCTTGAAATCTAAAACATAGTGGAAAGCTGTACTCTTGAATGAATAAGTGGATGCCGGATTTTGGCGGTACTCTCTCTCAATGTCTTTAGATGTTGCATTTACTATCAAATTAGTCTCCCCTGTTGTATCAGAGAGTCCATATTGTACCCAGTTTTTCTTTATATCCAAAAAGTACCAAATGAAATTGGATGGCTTAATCTCTTGTCCATCAATATACTGTGTACATAACCTGCGTATTTTCAGTATCTGACTTTTAGATGAATTAGTCAGACTCATTGAACTGAAACTGGCTGTCCAGGTATCACGTCCCATCAGTATAAGAAGACCTCTAGCTGAAGCCCTCAGATGAGTAGGATCTAACCGAGGTAAATCGACACAGTCCTCATCAGGATTGCAAAAGGAGCGTTCCAAAGTGATCACCTGCTGTTCTGGCAAATTATACCAATATTCGTTCTGTTTCATCACTTGCCAGTGGAAATGCTCACTTGAATGAAGTCTCTTGCAGCCTGAGCCTTCATCCCTACACATTCCTTCAACTGAGTAATAGCAAATCTCTGGGACAGCCACATTTCCTTGAACATCCTGTGTCCAATACGTCTTTATTGATACTGGAGTACTTTTAGGTAGAGATGTGCTTGAAGTATGGGAATGCTTTAATTTTGTTGTATTGCTGTCAGCAATTTTGGTGGTCTTGCTTGGAACACTATCTTCATTCGTTTTTTCAGATTTTAGACTACTTGTAGACTGAACATCATTTTCATCATCTGAGGAAGCATCATCAGAATCTTTGGACATGTAACCCTCATTCGTCACTGGAATTTCAGATTCTTCCTTCCGTTTTTCAGAATCTTTGGACATATAACCCTCATTCGTCACTGGAATTTCAGAGTCTTCCTTCCGTTTTTCAGAATCTTTGGACATATAACCCTCATTCGTCACTGGAATTTCAGATTCTTCCTTCCGTTTTTCGGTGTTTTTAGATTCACCTTTATTCACTGATTTGGTTTCATGTGAACCAACAGTATTTTGTTTCGTATCCTGCTGAAGAATTTCGGAATTTGCAGCTAATATTGCTACAACAATATCACGTGGGGTTTCATTGGTTGAGAAGCCATGTGCAGAGAGAACTTTACAGCACTGAGGAGTCAGCGGGTCATGATTTAATTGACATTTTTGTTGCTGACATCTAGTTCGACATGCAACAAAACTTTGACATATATGAAGTGAAGTACAGTCATCTTGGATGCAACCTTTCGTGTTGTATTCAAAACAAATAGCTATTTTACCAACAGGAGCCACAGTATGTAAAGGCTGAACCAAAATCTTTTGCAAGATTGGCACAGGGATATGCTCTATGAAATATGAACGAAGGACAGCAATATTGTGATCGGTACGCCACTTATGGCCAAAGACACAGTAAGAATCCTTGCACAAATTTCTGATGTATTGCTGACAAATGTGTATGTTCCTACAGGCACTTCGGTCCCGGCATCCCTCAGGGTCTGAGTGATGAGAGCATACTACAATTTCTGGTCGCAGTTCCACCTTTTCTCCATTTAGGTCAAAAACCTTCGGATACTGGGTCACAGTTTCTCTTACTGCTGAAGGCGAGAGACACCACTGCTCCATGAGCTCTAGCAGGCTTGCAGTTAAATCACGTGACTTGATTAACGCATCCACAAGTACCTTTGGGTTCAAGGCAACGGGTGGATTCGGGCTCCAGGGTTCTTCCTCGTACTGACGGAGAGGGTCTGGCTGTCCCCAATATCGCTGAGGTTGGTAGCTCCCATCACGATTCCAATTTTTACCTCGACTCCGACCTCGACTTTGAAACCGACCTCGACCTCGGCCACGTTCTTGAGCTGTACCTCGATTCGGATTTCGATCTATACCTGAACCACGACCTCTGAATTTAGGATTAAGATTCTGAAATACAGAAAAGAAATCAGGATTATTTTTGACACACACGAAAAAGTAATTGTGCTACTACTAATAAAAAATCAACTGTATGAACACAAATAAATAATATAAAACCAAGAACCTACATTACGAGAGCTATTTTGGTTGCCGAGTGGCGAAGGGGCTGAAGAGCATCTTCGGTTCCCTTTACTCCTTCCTGTGCTTCGGGCTTCAAAATCATCGCCATCGAAGGGCGATCGAGCGTTCCTTACTGTAAGTCCAGGAGTAAGTTTAGAGAAAAATACTTCAAATGAAAATGGAATAAATATAAGAAGATCTGTAAACTTGTTTCTAGGAATTCGTCCGTAGGGAGCTTATTCCATTATTCCTTAAAAATAAGCATATGCACAGATACTGAAAACCAGTATTTATATATATATATATATATATATATATATATATATATATATATATATATATATATATATATATATATATACATATATACATATATACACACAAACACACACACACACACACATATATATATATATATATATATATATATATATATATATATATATATATATATATATATCCATACACACACACACACATATATAACAATGCAAGCCATACTTTATAAGCTGCACTAAATGTTTCCTTTATATTGTCTTTGTATGTTAAAAGAGCGTGCTTATATATGTTTATATATAAAATATACTAAAATCATAT